TCTACATACACCATCTCGTTACTGCAAAAGAAATTGAAATTTACCCAACAACCTCGTCCAAACTCCCTTTCACGGGTCTTAAATTTCCAAGATCCTTCATTTCCATCGTTCTATCCATTCGCTCGCGATATCTCGCGACTAATTCTACATATATAATTTTTATCGAGCCAGGTATCGAGCGCACGTCGAGAAAGATGGCGGATATAATACGAGCATCGAGCATGTTGGCTAAGAAAGAAAAGGGGAGGGGGAGGAAGGAAGAAGGGAATACCAAGTGGTGGGACTCTGCTGTCAACTCTGCATGGTGTCCGCCTAATGCTCCCTCGGAGCTACTCCCGCGGTGTGGTACCGCTTCTTGCAAATAACAACACTCGTTAGCGGTGCAAGAAATACAGCGGCGATGTTAATAACTCGCTGCCGCGCGATTCAATTTAATCGCGGTCATTACGAGCCATTCATTATTTAACGCCGTTATCGCGGTTTAATAAAATATAACACGGGGAATGGAAGGGGAGAGGAGGGGGGAGAGGTGCTCGCGCGCGTCGTTACTCGAATAAGCTTCGATTAACCGGCGGCGAGGGCCGATTCATCAACGGGCCACCATTAAACGGAGTTAGTCCGGGATTACTCTCGAGGAGGAGCCGGTTTCAAAGGGGAATTAAATAATCGGCCAGGTAGTCGAGTAGCGACATTTGTGAGCGCGTTGGCAACGATTTTAATTTCGTTTCTCTCTCTCTCTCTCTCTCTCTCTCTCTCTCTCTCGACGAGAAAGAGAATTCGAGAAATCGGAATTGAACGGTGGTCGTTACTATCGCTCGACTCGAGATGAATTTTGAACGCGTTAGTAGTGATCGAGGGAACATTGCTACCGTTGGGTTACTCCTGTATCATTCTCGAGAAAAGTATAGTTTTCGAGTTTATAAAATGATAGCGTTGGACTCACGAGGAAAAAGCTAAACGTAGTAATTATGTCTTTATTTCGAAGAAGGAGAAAGAAGAAAGGAGAAGGCGATAAAGATCCTCGATAATCACCGCGATTCCGATAATTGTGGCGAATTGCTCGTGGAAGGAGAACGGCCCGAAATCTCGTCCCATACTCGGCGAACCGAAGTAAAGGAATTTAATTAAAAAATCGTCCTCGATCTCGAAATTACGGAAGAAAAAATACGGATCAAAAAAGATGGGAAGAAAGATGGTATCTCTGAATGCATCGTTAATCATAGGTATCCATCGAAGGATTCATTGACGAGCAAACTCTCTGCTGAAACTCGTATTGTCTATCAACAGTCACGCCACGGTCTAATAAAATATTCATTTCACGGAGAGAGAGGCGAAATTTTGTTCGCACACACCCCGGAGGTAATTCGGGAACGCTATTACACTTTTGGATAATAATCAAAGGATTAAGTATTTATTAGCAAGGATCGAGGGGGAGGTGTGCAGCCAGAATGTTTGGCGTCAATCATTGGATCGTGAAAGCGTTATTACGAAGGGATGCATTTACCGCATTTATCCTCGTATATTTCGTCTTCTCTTGTACCGCGCAACGTAAATGTACGTGTGTGTGTATGTGTGTGTGCGCGCGCGAAGATACACGATATCGAAAGCGGTAGCCGCGGACCGCTATTACTCCATTATACAGTTTGCGAGCGGCACGATATAAATTCGATGCAAATTCGTACCGTGCGAGCCGTGAGAATCATCAATCATGGTTAGCAGGCTTCGTTTCCGTCTTTTTTCGAGTATTCGTTGTCGATTTCGGTATTGATCGCCTGTGGCAACGATGGAAATTTCCCACCTCGAGTGGATTCGAATTTCCAAATTCGAATCGTCTCGTTTCGATCGATCAAGGCGGCGAGCGTAGAGAGTTGGGTACAAGGTTCGAGATTACGGAGGAAAAGCACGACGGCGCCTCTGATAACCCCATTTCGCGCCGACCTTTCGGATACAATGGGTTATTCATACGAGACAAATTCCAACAGTCGGAGGAGCAGACGTGGCTCGATCGTTGCACGAGGTAGGAACGATTTATGCTTTGGAATGGTAGAAATTACAGTAATCAATGAATTGGCATTTCCCACATCCAGAGTGCCAGTATCCGCCGCCGTAAAGATATCTCGATGGCTGCGCGCATAATGCCGTGGTGTTAGAATGATGGATAGACCGTGCCGGTCCACGTCTCTACGACCGTGGCGCACACTCGTTGAAACAATTATTATTACCAAGCGCCGCTCTACCATATATATATATATATATATATATATATGTACGTATATACGTTTCTATCGTATACCATAGCCATTTCTGCCCTTTTGTATCGTGGTGGATTTCGTAAAACGACAATGGAACCCCGTAATGCGCGAAACGTGTTGGAATATACAGACTCTTCGTAAGGGATCGGTTCGAGAAACGTTTGGAAAAGTTTTATTATTAGTGGTCGAGTTGGAGAGTCGCGTAGAAATTTTCGTTTCAATAGGAGAAAAATTAAGAAAGTTTTTCGCCCGAGGAAATATGTTAATCGATGTGTTTAATGAATTCGATATGACGAAGACAGGAAACAAGACGTTCTCGAGTAAAAATCTCTAAACGTGTTTCCATTATTTATAAACACTTTCTAAAAAGTATGTAGAAATACGTTACAACAAAGTTATATATTAAGTGGCCTTAAAATGGATTGGGAAGGAATTCTATGTAAATTGTGAACGATAGATAAACAAGTTTGAAGAAAGTGGGGAAAGGTCGATGTGGTAACGTCGACGACACGAGAGTACATAAAGGCCGAGGAACGGCCGAGGAGACAGTAAGGAAAAAGGTAGCGAGTTAGAGAGAGAGATGTCCTTTAAATTGTTCTTGTTTCTGTATGCCATTGCGATCGATCTTGGTAAGTTTCCCGCTTTTCTTTTGTCCATCTTGTAATCCTACGTATAAAATTTGTCTAATTTCGGCCTAAGCGATCCAGAAACCGATGTGCGCACCGGGTAAAAGTTTCTTCGATGGTTGCAATACGTGCACCTGTACCGATAACGGAAATTACATCTGTACCATGGCTGCTTGCGAAGATTACGACCCCGAAACTGACACGTTCGTACCAGTGAAGATTTTAGAACCTCCGCCCGATTTTTGGCAAAATTCGTAATGTAACTATATATATGTGTATATGTATATTTCTGTCCGATATACGTTAAGACTACATCATTAAAACTAAGTCGTATTACGTAAACACGACTCGTTCCAGGAAGGACAGAAATTAAGGAAAAAAAAAAAAAAAAAAAAAAAAAAACGAACGAGGATACGAATCGAAGAGAATAAAAACGTTACGTTGAAAATTGAATAAATCTAAAGCTGATTCTGTATCGTATCATATTCCTCTCGTCGAGCGATCCAAGTCAATTGCGATATTTTTCCTTCGGGGCCAGGTTGAGCACCGCGATTACACCGCCGTCTTGGTTCAACCATGGACCAGACAAAAGATCCTGGTTCTCACGACCACGCCCTCTCCCCGCCGCCTCTGCGCTCCGTAGACGGCGGCAATGCCTTCACGAAGCTACCTCTATCCACCGGAAATTCCTCGAGCCGTGGCTCCTTCCACTCTGTGTGTACACACACGTGTGGCGGCGCGTATAGAAGCGTGTACAGCCACGGTGTGCTGCGACCTCTTCCACCTCTCTCTCTCTCTCTCTCTCTCTCGCGAGGCGATAATAAATGGCCGACTATGCACCAACGAAACGGGGGACGTGTTCTAAAAATGCATACTCGATGGATAGTATTCACGGTCACTTTGCCCGTACTATCGAATTTCTAAGCGGCTCCACGTTGGCCATACACGTTGCCCGTGCGAATGTCGAAGACCCCTGACCCCTCCCTTCTCGCTACTCTTTCTCCCGATCCCCCTTGAAAAACCCGCCGCTCTATGGGACGACGAATATGCTTGGCATTCGGCGACCCACCCAGACAGACTTCTTCCTTCCTCTCGGCCGCGAGGTGCGCGCAGAGCATCGATAAAAAAATTCCACGAATCGTCGTTCCTCGAGATCGACTTCTGCGCCGATTTTCCTCTCTCTTTCTCCGTCTCTCTCTCTCTTTCTTTCTCCACTAGGTGGAATCAAAGGCGGTCGATGAGTAATGGCTCGTGGTCGTGAACCCGTCCACGACGGCGACAACCGGCCATACGGTTATATATTATACTCTCAGGACGCATTATCGTTATCGAGACGGATCTAGAGATTCTATTTGTTAATAACGGTGTACACACTCGTCGAGATAACTCTCGTGGGAAGAAGAGCGGTCTAACGACCGGGGAGGGAGACGCGTTAATGTCGAGGGACCGTTGTTGCGAACCGAAAAGAGAGAATTCCCTTTTACCACCTCGGGTCACCTCACGGGGTATCACGAGGAGTAGTATCCTATCCTTGTTGGAACGTAACCGAAGAGGATCGCGCACGGCCGTTCAACCGTGGGGAATATTGTCCCAGCAATTAAGCCTCTCCGCTCCTCCTCTCGCCGCTCCTTTCTTCCTCGGAGCGTTACGCGCCTCGCTTTCTTCTTCTTCTTCTTCTTCTTCTCTCGGTTTAATTGTTTCGCGCACACCTCGCTCCGTCACCTTGGAACGGTTCCAACCGGTGAACCGATCCGCCTCGCGGCGAGAGGAAAGAAGGCGATGACGAACACTGCGAGGGCAGTGTTCTACGTCCGTGTGAGCGTGCGCGAATCGTCAACGGGATGAAACGGGTTGAAACGGGTCGACGAAAGTGGGAAAATTTGTGGAACTTATGGGAAGACACGGATACGATCCCTCTTATTTCTGGAATAATCGTTTTGACATTCAACCAGGAAAATTTCGTGGCAGTCTTCTCTTTAACGGTTACTAATTTTTCTCCTTTTCAACTACTCGTTTTAACGACTCGTTAAGCGTGGAAAGAAGAGGGAGGATGATGGATGATGGAAACGCGGTTAAATTAATCTACGATTAAATTAATCGGTAATGTTGAAGTTAAACTTACCGGTGTGGGTCCTCTTGTGAGCCTTGAGGTGGGAGCTCTTGGTGTACACCTTGTCGCAGCCGGCGACGTCGCATCTGTGAACTTTGCGCCTCTTCAACGCGTCGCCGCATTCGCCGTCCATCGCGAGGCTGCCGCCGTTCCCTCCGACACCGGCGTTCACCCTTCCGCCGATCCCTATTCCGCTCGCCAGCGCCGGACGCTTGTGGAACACCCTGAAATTTCCAACCAGCGATCCCCTCGAGAACACGGGATAAAACGATAAAGCTCTCTAAAGTCGAGGGGAGCGGGCTACGAACGAAACGATCGGGGGGATTCTCGGGGGAGGGGAGGAAGAAGAGGGAGGAGAAGAAGGTGGTCCCCTCCCTTTTTTGCGAGGCGTCGCGTTTCGATCCCCGCAGCGACGTCGATCGCAAAGGGCGAGAGGGTGGCAAGAAATTCGAAGGAGCCAGGATCGAGCGCCGCTAATTTCAATTCGGATATGGATAAGAAGACGTCTTCATCGTTATTTTATCTTTCCTTCCGAGTTTACCGATTTATTCCGAGAGGTGAACCAATGAATCGGACAAATCCGAGCCCCGATTCACGATGGATTTATACGGGAAGTTTTTGGTATGCATTATTCATCGATCGATGCGTTATGACCGGTTCGAAGGGAAGAAGGAGCGAAATTGGCCGCGACGTGAACCGATCGATGGAACAAATACACGTCGGTGGTATACCCATTAGGAGGGGAAAGAAACAAAAATCTTTATCTTACGAATCGAATATTGCCGAGAGAACGAGGAAAAAAGCGGCGGTCGTAATCCTCGCCGATTTCTTTCTTTCTTCCTTTTTCTTCTCTCTCTCTCTCTCTCTCTCTCTCTCTCTCTCTCTCTCTCTCTCTCTCTCTCTCAATATATATCATATATCAAGCGGAAAGAATAGTCGTGTAAAATTTAAAAGAAAACGGGTTGGAGAGGTTTTAATTTCGAATTCGCGGTCATTTAAGCGTAGCGTTAATTACGTAATTGTATTTTCTTTTTAGAAGCGCTAGTGCGTGCGGCTGTATAGTAGCGAGTATACTTTAAACGCGTTCATAAATCACGAGCCCCTTCAGCGAAACGCGCTCCATTTTGCACTCCATTCCCATGCATATTCATGAATTATTTGTCCATTATACCGCGGCCAAACGGGGGTAAACGTTGATACTCCATTATCGTTCGCGATTTACGCGCCGATTCATTACAATTTTAAACCGCTTAAAGCCCCGTCGATGGAGTGACTAATCGTCGTAAAAAAAGAAAAAAGAATAAAGAAAAACACATCGTCGAGAGACTCCGCGTTCCGTGAATCACGAACAGTATATAACCACCTGATGATAAACAAAATTTCTCCTTTCAACGGGTTGGAGAGTCATCGAGTCACCGATCACCAACGATCATCATCGGCCAAATCGTTGCTCGCAACGACATGCACAGGTTATTCAACTCGAGCAGGCTCTCGCTAAAAAGAAGCCGCGTCGAACCGATCAATCTTGGCTCGACACCCGGTGAAACTCGTTTCGCCGCCGAATTCGGTCGATTGTCTCTCTGCCCAACGGTTCGATCTTCCCGAGTAACCGTTCAACGATAATTCAAGGTATCGGGGAATTCGACGCACACCCGACGCGCCAATTTGCCCGGCCCATCGGCGAAACGATGTCGATTCCACGAATCCTTGCTGGTATTTTAATCGAGATTCAAAAGCCTCCGTAACGGAGGCGAAATTTAAGGGCGTTCTTAAATAAATCTTTGTCGCGCCTGTAAACCCTCGTAAACCGGCCCCCCTCGAATAAACAAAGTTGCGGACCCTGCCTTCCGTATCAACTCTCGTTCCGTATAAATAAACTTTATAACCGGGGAGGAGAAATTTTTTACACGCGTCGAGAATATATTCGCTGGCTACCGCGTCCAGAAAACTGGGCTTGAAACGGCATCACCGATGGTATCACTCACGCGTCCACGCATCGGGGGGAGAGGCCGTATTTTCATAGGGGCGACGAAGGCTGGCCGCCCCGTGCCCGCAGCTCGCCCGTTTAAACTGGCATAAATCTGCTTCCACTCGCGATACAATCCTCCCTTCCACGAAAGAAAGGAAATTCTCTCGCGCGATTTCCCAATTTCCACGAGATCGATTCGTAATTTTTTAATTGTGATCCTCCGATGATCGAGGATAGCTCGTTGAAAATTTCAAGGAGATCGGCTGGTATTTCGCGACAATTAATAATGGAAGAATGGAAGAAAGACAGGCGGCCGTTTATTCGCGCGGCATCCTCGAAATCATCCGCGGCGTGTACGTACGAGGAGAGGAGAGGAGAGGAGAGGAGGGCTATCGAATGGATCATTGTTTCGAAGCCGTATCCGTTGGAAAGGGCGAAGGAGGAAACTGGAAAGTACATTTGTCGTGAAGTATTGCCGCTGCGAGCTCGCGGCAGTTCCTCCGCAGGAGGGCCGCCGACATGCGGGTACCGATGTAGAAACGGTGCGTGTACACGTGCGTAGCCGTTCCGTCTCGCGTGTGGAAGTCGCGGAACGTGTGCACGGCAACATCGGGACGGAAACGGACAACCGAGCCGGCCAAGATTTACGAGGAACGCGAAGTATAACTATCGGTTAACGGCATTGGGACACGAGAAGACAGGCCTCGATCCTCCTCGATCGGATACGTGGTGACGATTTCACGGTACGAGTGATCTACGGACACGATCCACCACGGGCCTTATACCATTATTAGGAATCGATCCGCCAAAAAAGGGGGAATAACAACAACAACGAGTTTATAGTTCACGTCGAATTTGGATTTATTAGGTCGTTAACGGAAGTCTGAATCGTTTCTAGATGGTAAACAGTTTCCATAATCGAAACGGTCGAACGAGCGACATCGATTTAATCGTCGTTGGAGGACCGTTGAGAATTGTCGAGAAAATCTCTGATAAAGTCATTGGCACCGAGATCCAGAGGAGGAGGAGGAGGAGGATGGATCCAAAGATGGAAGGATGAAACCGTTACGTCATCGTCTGTCATCGTCTGCCATCGGCGAGACGAGGCAAGGAATTATTCCAAAGACTCGATCTTCGCGGATTCGATGAGGCGCGGTGTAACACACACACACACACATACATACATACACGTTGAAAAGAAATCGTGACGCGTCGTATGAAATGAGGTTTGTTAGCGTGCACCCGGGTGTCACGAGATTACAATGTTTTCTAACGTCGGCCGCCTTTCCGCCGAGATCGTACCCGCTCCACAATGGAAAACACACTCGCGCGAGAGCAAATTAAACGAGATTTACAACGGGTGCACGATCTCGTCCTATTAACCCTGGACCGTGGTGGTTGTACGTTCGATGAAATATGACGCCATATCCCGCGATATCCCGCTGTTTTTCGACTTTCGATTTCGTAAACCGATAATAAAGTCACTCCTCGTGCGACGTGTCCAGGATGATGCAAATCCTTCGCCGACTCGATGATGCGATTATTAAAAGAAAATGGAAAAGATAAAATTTCGAACAAATATTTTTCTCTAAATAATACGATCCTCGCCAATTTTTACAAACTTGTGACCGAACGGAGTAACGGAGCTCATCCTGTTCCCTCCCGGCCGAACGGAGAGGAATCCTAACGTATAGGACGTACGTGACGTGGAAGGAAGGTGTGTGCGGTTGGTCCACAGTTGCTACACATCTGTCAAGAGCGTGGAAAAGAAAAGAAAAAAAAAAAAGGGAAAGAAGCGGGGCGATACGATCGGTAAAAGTACTTACAGGGACGTTTCCTTTATCCTCTGCAACGCGAGGAGGGCCGCCGAGGGGGAGACGAAGACGGGATCGAGCGGTTCCATCATGCGGACCGACACGTCCCGCTCTCTATCCCTGTCCCTTTGCCTCTCCCTATCGCGATCCCGCTCCTTCTCCCGATCCCTCGTCTCCCTCTCCCTTATCCCCGATTCTCTGTCTAGCTGCCTGTGCTCGTTCTCCGTGCTCCTCTCTCGCACCCTCTCGCGTTCACGTTCCCGGTTTCTATCCCACGCCGTTTCGACCACAGGCGGCAAAGGCGGCGACACTGGAAACAAAAAATCGATGGAATATTAATTGAGCCGATTGTGTTACGTCTCCTTCGATTCATGCGCGCGGAGATTTCGCGGAATCGTGGATTATCTATCTACGCGTGACGCCTCTACGGGGATCGGATCGTGTGTCGAATGGATCGAAAGCGTTATTTACCGATATATATTATTTAAACTCGTCCCCACTCCCCTAAATTTCTCGTTAATAGTAGCTCCATTAATAGTGGTACGTTTCTTGGGTTTCAAAGAGATCGAGATCTGAAAATTCGATCCTTTCGAAAATATGTTCCGTAAAAAGCTGCGTTAGTTAGTTACGCGCAATTATCCTTGGATCGATTAAATCTTTTTCACAATGGTGTATATGTATATATGTCGTAAACGTTTCTTAAAGAAAAAAGATATATATATATATATTTGTTAAATTAATCGGACGATTTTGCAACTTTGTGGTTACGAAAGAAAATAATATCTACATGATTGCTCGTAAAAATGTATCGATGTTAAAAAGTTGTGTCGATACGCGATACGCGATTCCTATTGGCTACAGAGTATATGTATTTTTCTACGATCCTCGACCCCGTGACAGCACGATTGCTACGTTGCGCATCATTGCAGCGACCCGTGGCCGACAAGCAAACGTTAAACGTTCGTGGCATTACTAATTAATACGCGGTGGCCAATGGTCAATAGATTGGCGATCGATCGTTGCTATAAGCGGACGTGGAACGCGGAGTGTATCATCAGGACGGTTGTTTAACTTTTGACCGGTGTCTCGCCGCTATCTCTGCGCCTTTTCGAACGTCGCCGTCCCGATAATCGGTTCGTAACCGATATAAAATTATGATTTCCAAGGTTCATCTTGTTACTTGGTGGTAATGGCTCGTTTTACGATAAACGATCGTGATTAGCGTAACGCGAGTAATATCGTTATTCGTTCCGGGGAGGAAAAGGATTTTCTTCCGCGCGGAGGCGTTTTATAATTCAATCAGACTTTCTCTTCCTTCTTTGGAATTCTTCTCTTCCTTAATTACGACTTCTCGCGTCTTTTTTTTTTTTCCCCCTCCCCTCGTGTCGCGCCGATGTCCGTATCTTATCTACGTCCACCGATGGACGGAGTTTACGTTTCCTCGAAACGTTGTTCCTCCCCTCCCTCCGTGAAAACTTGGCGAATTCGATAAATTCGCATCGGTCACGAGACTCGTGTACGCAATTCGAGGGAGACACGAATGTATTATTGGGGAAACCGGTTCCACGGCGATTGATTGAAGAAAAAACGGGAGGACGGGCATTCGCAGAGGCAAGAATCTCCTCTCCTTTACAAAGACTCCTTTGTAAACGCTGCGCTCCTAAGATTTTATGATTGGAAATGTAATTAAATAGGAAACAATCCAATAGGCGAGAAAAAGAAAGCGAGTTCTTACGATTTTCGAAATAATTAAAAAAATAAAGGAATCGATCTTTCCCAAAGAAAATCCAAAGATCACAGATATATTCGAGAGATGATCGATCGATTTCGGAGTGGACAACGTCGATGCGGCTGAACAAGGCGGAATATTGCGTAACGCACGCACGCACGCGAGCGAGTATCCCTCGGTTGTTGGTCGTGAATCAACGAGCTGGAGATTTATGCAAACGGCCGTTTATGCTCCACCAGGCGCGCGCCATCCGACAGAAACGCGCTCGAACGCCGAAGATGCACGACTGGAAAACGAGCACCGTGATGCTCCCTCCCTCCCTCCCTCCCCGTGTTTCGTGGGGATTTGATGGATCGTCGGGGAGATTGATTTTTAATTGAATCGAACCCTCGTATTTCACCGACCGCCGACCTTTTTCAATTCGTGGCGTCGTAAATAGCCACGATTGACACGGCACGCACGCCCCGCTCTTCTCTCCAACCTCGTTCCGCGCTTCTTTCCCCTCCTTTTTTTCCTTTATCGAACGAGTTCCGCGCCACCAAATTCCCGTAATAACAAGAGGGAATTAATCGCTGTAATCGCGTCACGCTAGTCGAGCCGCGACACGCTCTCCTTTCCGTTCGGGCAGCGCGCATACAACGACGCGTCTCGACGCGTTTCCAGGAACCGCGTTTCGCTCCCTCAGCCTCCTCAGTGGAAAATTTCGATATAAAATCCCACAGATACGGATCTCGTGGCCCTCGTCGCTGGCTATGTTATCCGAGAGAGAGATCTCGCGAGGATTCCAATCGTATCGGAGGAATCGTTACTCGGTCTTGGGACACGTACCACTCGCGCGCGAGTAACAGAGCGCGCTATTATTAACCGTAATTTCCCTACCTCTCTACCTGTTTCGCTTAATTAGCCTTTGCTTTCCTGGGATATCTTTCCTTCCCTCTGCGATCCCCCGCCTGTCCTAGCCCAGCAGGCCGTTGTTAACTTTCCCCTAATACGATCGAAAAGTTTACGTTTTATTTTCTTTCTATTATTACATTCTTCTCTTCCGTTATCTATCACGAGGAGTTCGTTCCTTAATTTAATTCGTTTCGCAGTTTCCTCCTCTTCGCCTCCATCGTCGCCTCGCCCACGCGAGGTCAACCCCGAGTGTATTCATAATCCGCTGTTTCAACCGCGTTTCACCTTCCTTCTTCCCTCTCTCTTTCTCTCTCTCTTTCTCTCTCTCTCTCTCCCTATCCCCTCTTCTGGCCAACTCCTTTCTCTCGCGCATACACGCGCAAGCACGCCTCGATGACCCGGCCCCCGGGTGTACATTCGAGGGGGATAATTGATAATGTTAAACGCGGGGTTAATCCGCCGATTTATGAGCAGAGTTTCTACCGTGGATTTTTTTCGAATCTGGCAAATTGAGGGATAATAGGCGGACATTAATAGGCCCGATCGAACAGCGAAATATACGGGAGATAAGTGGGAATCGGCGGGTTACGGAGTCGCGCACGATTAATTCACTCGGATCCGGGGAGGTGAATTAATGCGCTCGGCTGGGCTGTTCAACGGACGCCACGCCAAGTTTTGACAAGTTTGCAAGGAAACGAAGAAAGCGTACGCGTATTTCAATGCCAGGTGATTCATCTTCTTCCAAAGTGAAATTTCCTCCTTGGAAATTTTACGAGTCGCGCGAGATTATATTTATATTCGCAATGAAATGAATGAAAATTCGTTTCTTCGTCGGGCAAGTGGCGTGAGGTTATCAGGTTGAAGGGAATTGTCAGCGAGGATTCAAAGCGGATTCGAGGGCACAATGGCCTCTCTGGCCGATCGATAATATTAATTAACGAGAGGGGAGGAGAAAAACTGGTCGAAATCGATAACGGTTTGGGTGATGAATCGTGGTTCTCTGGTAACCGCGGTAACCTGACGTGCAGCATCATCGATTATCGCGTACATTGTACGATCAGCCGGCTAGCGCGGAGAGAAATATATATATATATATATATATGTATGCTCGAACACGAAGACGAGTCAGGTGGGTGGACATGCCACCCGCATCGCGGAACTCGTTAGACGCGAGTTTTCAATTAAATTTCCGGTTTCGCGCGGCGAAACAGAGATTAGAGGTACTCTCGTACCGATTAATCGTGGATTAAGATTTCTCCCCTCCTTCCACATTTATCAATGTATACCTACGTGGTATTCGTGACGAAATTAAATTTTCCATAGAAAAATGTTCGCGCTGTGTGATGCGCTGAAATTCGTAACGCGATTGAGAGGAGGTTCGAGAAAAGTTGGAAGAGTTATTTTACCATGGAGTTTCGCAGTTCTTATTAAGGAGGGGGAATTTGTTAGAGATTAATACGCTCGAGAATGTGTAATTATTTCTTTACCCTTTGCTGTGTCCCATGGTGGTTCGTAAATTGGAAGCCTTTATAATTGAACCTCGTGGCAGAAACGTAAGGGAATGCATGATAATAAAATCGTGCACGTAACGGGCGATCATCTCTTCTCAAACAGAGTGCTTTATAACGTGTCTTTGTCATAATTAACCGCCCCCCTTGCGCGCGCTAATCGACGAAGGCGTGATTATACCGCGGTAGTGAAAGTAACGCGGAAACGTGTTCATTCGTGCACACGAATCGTCTCGAAAATAAGCGCTTAAATCTTCCCTATACACTTTATTCTTTATTACAGCCACCAGGTAAATAGCGCTTGTCGTAAGATCCAATTATTCTGTCTCTCCTTTATTTAAATATACCTTTCGTATTCCCGATTTATTATCTCAACTGTTCATCTTTCGCGAAAATTCTTGAATACCCGCCTGTAATCCAATCACACGATCACAACCCCGCCATTTACGAATTTCGTTCGCAAAAGTAAGGACGAAAGCTCGAAATCTCGGGGAGAATCTCGAAAGAGAGAGAGAGAGAGATATCCCGTTGTCCGCGTTTCGTGGCGCTCGCGGCTAGCCTCCGATTGTTCCGCCCACGCGTTACTCTCCACCTCCGCCAGCAGAGGTGGAAAAAGCGCGCTGCGATCGTTGATGGAAGAAAGTGTGGTTGGGAGCGCGGAAGTAAGGGCCAAGTTCGTAATTACAGAGGAGCGAAAAAGTTTCGAATCGGGCGCATTACAGGCCCGTTCTGTATTCTACCTTCCGGGCTGGAGAAAATGAATTATGCGCTTTCGATCGGGCGGACGAAAGTCTCGAGGTTAACGTCTTATTCGAATCGTCGAAGCCACGTCGTTGTTCCCCCATGATTACCAGCCGGAATCCCGGTGGAACCCCGCCGGTGAGAGTTTCGATTTTATGGATCTTGGAACGCGCGAAACTGTGCGAAGAAAGAGACGGGTCGCAACGTCGAATTTCATCATTATCACGCTTTTGCGTTATTATTTCTACGTAACGGGGAATGATTTAAATAATTCTGGGTTTCGGAATCGATGGGGGACTCTCGGTGTTCGAGACGCATTTGCATGTCATTAAGGAGGTTCGAGGAGACAGAGATGGAATTTATTTTAATCATCGCCCTCCTTATCATCGTTGGGGAACTCGATAGTTTGGAATTATTATATCGGCTTTATAAGTCTGA